AGCCAGTTTTGGAGCCTGTGTTGTGGGGTTGCTCGTGCTCCATGGCCTGTCATCAGCTGGGAATGCTCCTTAATGGGAGTGGGTTGCAGAGTGCCTGTAATGCTTTTAAGAATAAAGAGCAGCATATGCACTCAAGCCAGACCTATATTTTTCCTGTCCTGCAGCTCTTTATTTGCCCCTGCTTGGAGGGATTCTCTGATGGTAGCATGTGCTGCCTGCCTGACCCAGCCTTTCTGTCCCACTGCCACCTCCCACCATACATTAAGTTTAAATAAATGCATTTTCACTGCCAGGAGCCATCCATAAGGCTAGGGCTGGCCTCTTCCTAATGGGGGATTTTAGCTTGGATGGACACATTTCTATTAGTGATGCCAACCCTGTCTGGCTCCTTTCTAGTGTGGTCTGCAAGCCCACATGTGTGGTTAAATGTGTGGTTGTCATGGGTCTGTGCCAACCCAAAGCAGTCTCCCCTGGAAATGAGGAGTGTGAGATGGTAGGCTGCTTCTGAGGGAAGCAGATGAGCTCACTTTCTGCCTCTCAGTTCCTGAGCTGATCCTTCACAGGCTGCTGTCACATTGCAAACCCATGCAGGTTTCCTGCTCCTGGTCACCTGCTGCATCTGAGGAACAAAAGGCTCTGCTCCTTTCCATGGGAGAAGGGATCATTTGGCCATCAGAGGATTTGCTGCTGCACAAATCCTGTTGACCTTAGACTGACTGAACTGTCTGCAGGTGTTGGGCAATGAAGCTGGAGCTGTTGGCAATTGCTGTTGAGAGCTGTTGCTTCACTCAGAATGAGCTGGTGAAGTGGGAGCTTGAGGTCTGGCTCTGTGCAGAGGGCCAGGTGTGGCTCTGACTGCTGCAGTGTGTCAGTCAAAGTGGACTGAACCTGATGATTTTCACTGGGATCCGTTCAGTGGCTCTGCTGGAAGTGGGTCTGATTACAGAGCCCAGGCTTGGCAGCTCTTGTTCTGGCTGTGGTCTTGTGCAATGTCAGCTGGGTCACTTCTGTGTGTCCTGCCTTTATTATGGTCCCTGCTTTTTGCCTGTGCATTCTGGCATCTTGTACTTGAGCTCATGACCCTTTGACTTCGAGGAAAATCTACCACTTTTCTTATTGCAAATTAAAATCTGGGCCAAGAAGTTGAGGAGTGCAGAAGCTCATGGCTTTGGCTTCCTCTGCAGCCACTCTGATAGCCGAGTCTGACAGCTGTTTCCCTTGGGCTTTCTCAAAACTTGCCAAAAGGGGCTAAGAGTCCCTTGCCCAAGCAATACTCTAATCTTCTCCAGCCTTGCATCAGCCACTTGTTTATAAAAGCTGTTGTAGTTTCTGGGGTTGGGGTATGTAAGAAGCACTGTCCCTGTTCTGTTGGGAGTCCCACCATGCCAAACCCTGCCTGATGATGAGGTGGCTGCAGCAGTGCCTTCCTCACACTTGAGAAAAACATAAGCAGCTTCCTAACCCTGAGGCCTTGCCCAAAGCCTTTGGGTTGTTTGTGTTCCCTGTGTAAGCAGGAAATACCAAGTGAGGGCCGTGTTTGGTTGCAGGAATCCAGCGGTTGTATGGACATGGATAGCTGGGATATGTGAGTGACCTGCTGTGGTGGCCTCTGGGCAATGGACTCGAGGGAATCCAACTCCAACCCTCACTTGTCCTCCTGACACTTCATCTCTAAGGTTTTAAGTGAAGTACACAAACTTTATCTGGGGCTCAGCTGCTTTAAACTTCCTGGTGCCTTTAGGCCAAGCCACTCGTGTTTGTTTGCTGGTGTTTGATTGTGCGTTTTGTCTTTGGTGTTGGGTGTGTAAATACAGGGGGTCCAATGGCCTCTATGGGCACCCTGAGCTCTCCTGGTGCTTCCTTAACCCGTGTTAGTGAGACTAGAAGCCAGCCCCAAAGGTTCGTCATTTGAGCTGAAAACCCAACGTTGTTCTCTAGGCTTGGCCCTGCTATAGCTCCTTGCCTAGGGTGGTTTTGTGAGAAAAGTTACTACTGCACTTGGGAAGAAAGAAATGGAAAAGCAGGAGGACAATATGGTCCTGTTTAAAGTTACTTTGGGGTTTTACTGTGACCTAAAGCATATGCTTTATTCAGCAGTTTTCACAAGCAGGAAGCTTTATTTAAGGCTTACAGCACTTGCTGAATCATGGAGCAAGAGAAAGCTGAGCACGATAAATAGTTTAAATGGAGCAGATTTTGCTGTTTTCAGAGCTTTCCTGACATCCTCAATGTTCAGTCTTAGTTGTCTTAAGCAGATGCCATCAGGAGCATCTTCAGATGCTGTCCTGGTGCAGCAAAGGGCAGGTGGGATCTGGGTAATCCTTTGAGAACAGAGACCACAGGGAAAAAGCAAAAACTCCTCTTTGATGTGAAGTTGTTTTTGGATGATTGGGGAAGAAAAGAAATCAAAAAGCCACAATGGTCAAATTGGCTCCAGACCTTTACTGGGGACCTGTATTTACAGCATTCTCCTGCCTGTGCTGGGATTGGGGTTTCTGTTTAATCAGAAACAGCCCAAAGTCGCAGGGAGTTCTGGGCTTTGTGCTTTGCTTTTCTCAGTACCAGTTTCCATATCTCAGGAGAATTGTGTTGCCTTTCCGGCAGAGCTGAAGAGGAGGGAAGGGAGTGATGTACTTCACTGCAGTCCCCACATCTAAATAGAAACAGTTCTCCTCTTGGATCCTTCCAGTCTGATCTTATGGGTGATTTGACCTTTCTTTGATAAAAGCTTTCTTTATTTGCAGGAATAAAAAAGCAAAGGGCAGGAGAGGACACAACAGATTTTTTAAAAAAATACCTTTAGATTCTGGCAGTTGGTTTCTGCAGCACCCAGCTCTCACTGCTGGGCCAGCTCCCTTCTGGGCTCCAGCTTTTCTCCTCCTCTGAGCTCCCTGAATAAACTTTGCATTTTACTCTGAAGCATTGACCTGAAGATTTCTAAGGAAGTGTTTTATCATGGGGACACCATGCTCCAATGGGGATGGATGCCCCAGGCTCTGGTCCCCAGCCCTGCCCACTGCACCACTGGCCCTGGTTTTCCTCATTTCATAACTTCAGCTGAAAGAAGCATTTGTGTTAATTGCTGCTGGTTTTTCATGTGTTCACCCTCAAGCAGTTTGAGCTCAGCTTCCAAACACAGATCAGTTTAATGTGTAAAACCACGGGATGCTGGCATTGCCTGGGTTACAGCCCAAGCAAAGGCAGCACAGGTGCAATGTTAGAACTGCTCTAGACTGCACACAAGGCTCTCTGGCATGAGTTCTAACCATTAATTGCCACGTTAAATCCAGCAATAAATTATTTGGGCAACCACACTGCAAGAGCCCACTGCCAGGAACAAACCAGAGCTGAGTGCTACTCAGTCCCCTTCATACTTCAGGACTGCAGAGCTGGATCAGGCAGGGCACTCCCACACACTCTGAGTGGGGGTTTTTGGTGTCTCACTGACCTTCTGGATGTAGTTCAAGCCATCATCCTGTGAACAATGTTGTTAGTGCTGGAGGTGCACTGCATGTATGTAATGATCTGCATCTGCATGTGTGTATCCTCCTGGAGCACAGGATGGTGTGTGGCATGCAGGATGCCTCAGGATAAGCCTCTGATCCTTTGTAAATTGGATTTTGTGGCTCACTTGCCTGTCCTCTTGGATAAAGTTTCCCCTTAGCTGCCTCTCCTATAGCAGAGCTTGGGTCCGTCTCAGGACTGCAAAGCCTTTTATAATGCTCTGCAGATCAGGAGTCACTTGGGAGGGACAGGGACAGACTTTCCATTTACCACTGAAACATGCTCCAGAGTGAGCCTGCTGCTTCATTCCCTTCTGGAATTCCTCTCAGTCTGCACGAGATTCTTGTTGGTTTGGTGCCTTTCCTGATTCATGGCACTGAGGTGCTCCTGGCTAGCAGTCCCCCAGTGAGTACTGCTGTTTTAGAAAGCCTCTGGGCCATGTGAATCGTTGTGATTTCATGCTGGGGAGGAAATGGATTGCTGAGAGAAGGCTAGCTTCAAACAGAGCCACAGCTGGCTGATTTTATACCATTTCAGCTGGGTATCAGAGGTGCTGTTAAGTTTTACCCCCAGAGGAAACAAAGCAGGAAGATGCACCACGTTAGCACAAGTGGGATTGTCAGGGCTTGTAATAAGCCCTGTGTAATTCCTAAAAGGATGGTGTGTAAAACAGGCCAGCACACACAGATGATGTGTTGTACTGGAGAGGGCCATTGTCATGAAAGTTGAACAGTTCCAGTTTGCTTATAAGAATGTACTGGTTTGAGTTTCATGCCTGTTTCTGGGAGAGGGTGGTCGCCCTGGTGAGGGACAGCAGATACCACACTCCTGCCTCTTACTTGTGCCATTCTGTGCTGATGTGAGCTGGACACCCTGCAGGGGCTGGGGAGGAGTAATCCTTGCCAGGGTTAATACTTAAATCTGTGCTGCTTGACTTTTGAGCAAGGGAGGGAAGTTAATGCTCTTAGAAGTGCTGGGAGACCACCTACTCTTTGGTACAGACTGCCAACAGCTGACAGATGGAAGTGATTTTGGGGCAGTGAGAAGTCAGTGTGGAATCACAGTGGTGACCAAGAGCAGACTCTGTATCCCACAGTCTTTGACTTACATCTGCCCCTTGTGACTCTTGCTGTGGAGAAGGACAATTTCCCAGAGCCATCAGAATTCTTCTGTGGGGTGTGAATTAGCAGTGGGTTGATGGTTTGCTGTCTCTTGTGCTTCAGTCTAATAGACACGTGTTCCTCTGAAGATGCTTTTTGGCAAGCCTGTGTGTGGCTGAAGGATGTGGGAGCTCTGATTGGAAAGCAGGAGGGTGAGCTGAAGCAGGGGAGTGATTCCGTGTGCTGACACACTGACCCCTTTTCTCTGCTCCGTGTGACTGCCCCTGACCACAGCTGTCAGATACTCACCTTGGTGTGAGCTGTGCTGGCCCTGCCCTTGTCCTGTCCCTGTTTGGTGTTTGACTAAGTGTTCCCTGTCTGTTTTTTGTCTTGCAGCATTTGGAGGGGGCCAAACGTGAACTGCGTTGACAGTACTGGTTACACTCCACTGCACCACGCTGCTTTGAACGGCCACAAGTGAGTCCTGGTCCCATGCCTGGGGTCTCAGCGGGTGGATGCTTTGTGTTTCTGTGGCCACCGTTGTGTGGCTCATTCACCAGCTGAGGCACTGGTGCAGCACTACTCCATCTTCAGGGGAAGTGGAGAATGTCAGTGCTTTGGCTGATGTGTGATCTTTCATCTCAAAAGGCTGAGGTTTTCAACCACCCTTTTATTTCTAAGCAATTTGTTTAAGCGTGTGAAAGGAGCTCCCCTGGTCACAGTCCCTGCAGTCTTTCTGGTGTCCAGGGTACTCTGGGCCTGCACCACTTTACAGTTGCTTTGTGTGCATATCACATTTTTAAGAAATTTTAGTGTGGTAGATCTCATGTTGCTCATTGCTGTCTGAGATATTGAGAAATCAAATAGAGTTAAAATCTTTGTTCACCCCTGTTGTGCTGGTGCAATTCACTTTGCAGCAGAGGCTGTTAATGGCAGAGGCTGATGGAGTTAATGCGGATCTTCCCTGAGCTCATGTCGGCCTTTTTTTTTTCCATTTTCTTTAATAAGAACACTTAAAAATCACATTTCAAGAGGGTCTCTGAAAGACTCCAGTTTAACTTCTTGTTCAGTACTTGCTGCAGAATGTGAACTGTGAAACAAGGACTGAATGTCTCACGGAAGTTCCTGTCTCTTGCAGGGATGTCGTGGAAGTTCTGCTGAGGAACGACGCTCTCACCAACGTGGCAGATTGTAAGGGCTGTTACCCCCTGCACTTGGCAGCCTGGAAGGGAGATGCTGATATCGTGAAGCTCCTCATCCACCAGGGCCCTTCGCACACCAAAGTGAATGAGCAGGTCTGCCTGATTTTCTCTAATGTATCATTGAATCACTTCCCTGGCATGGAGAGAGACTCCTTCAGCTGAACCCTGACCCTTCCCAAACCAATAGCAATTGTGAGGTTGTGAAGTCCTTGCTGGTGGGATAAGAGGGGCACTGCCTAAAGCAATACATTCAGTTCTGAGTTAGTGCTAGGATGAAAAGGTATTTAAGTTTTATAGAGAGACACAGAAATATGAGAATCTCTCAACACTTAGGAAGTGGTCTCCTGCTTCTGGGCTTCTAAAACTAACCCACAGTTTTCCTTTCAGTTGCTGGATAGCTGAGCAGGTTTCTAGTTCTGCAGAGGATCCATTGGCTCCCTCCTTTGGGAATTAATCCAAGCAGCTTTGTTCAGTCTCTTTGGCCGTGCTCTCTTAGCTGCTCTCCTGGCTTGTCTCTGGCACTTGCTCCAGTTCACTAATTTGTAAGTTCTAAGATAATTTTAAAGTGTTAAGTCTTGCCCTCAGATAAATCCCTATCTTAATCTTAAATAATTATTTTTGCAATCAGGCAAGAAAAAAAAACAAACCTCTTGGATTTGTTCATTTTGTTAAGCTGACAGTTTTGGTCTGAGGTGCAGAGGGAGTGAGGACTATGAGACAGCTGTGTCTACTACAGAGGGCTGGCTTCTGTGGAACTGCCCCATGGGCATCAGAGGTATCCTAAAATTCTTGGGAACTTCTGAAATGCTACTGCTGGAAGGCCCAGATATTCCTGTAGTTGCAGAGTTTTATTTACAGGAATTGGTTTCATGAATGAGGCCAGCTGAGTGCTCCCTGGGTGAGTCTGGCAGACACGGAGTGACAGGCCCAAGTCAGGTGGCTAAAGCTGCAGTGGGCTGTGGTTGTCCTGTCCCTAAGGCAGGAACATCTGATGTCCCTGTGAATCAACTCCCAAATCACTCAGCTGTTCTTTCAGGAGGAAAGGAATAAACCAAAATAGGTCTCCCTGCCTTGGTGCTAGCTAAACCTGGATATTTGTTCCAGAGGTAATTCCCAGGTAGGTCAGACACACCTGGCCTGAGTTCAGCTCACAGTCAAGGTGAGCAGCTGGGGAGTCCCTGCTGTTGATTTGCTCCATAGTAGTTTTTCAGAAGGCTGGGGAGAAAACTCCTTTCAGAGGCAGCCTCAGGAGTCCCAGTCCTTCTTTATGGGGACCCAAGTGCCACACTGAATTTTCCCAGGATGGGTAACTCGATACACCAGGCTGCCCCAGGGTTAAATGCTGCTAAAACATCATGGAATGAAAAATCTGGTTGTAGTGCAACTCTCTATCATTCCTTATTCCAGGAATAAGGACGAATGTGTGTTCTGATGTCTCTGGTGACAGTTTTCCAGTTTGGGGCTGTGGTTAATCATGTCTCCAGGCACAGCTGCAGGCACTCACTCTGATTACACAGGCTTGAGTGCAGGTAACCTTTTTTAATCAGACAAGAACTGAGTGAGAGCCCGTAGTGTAAATGTGCTGCTCTGAGTAGGGCAGCTAGAGGGGTGATCTTTGCAGAAGATCCAGAGCTTAGTATGATCCTTGCAGGTAATGTTTCATTAATGTCTGTTTAGTAGGAACCCTGTTAAATGAGAGAAGTCAGCTGAGGAGCCTGTGCTTGGAGCCTGGTTCAGGTTACAGCAATCCCAGCTGGAATGGCTTTTGCTGGCCATGGCTCTGACTGGAACAAGATGCTATGTCCTGGCGTTCCACCCCTTGGAGTCACCCATTGCTTTGTTGCTGTATCTCACCCATTCCATTATCACATTTTTTTCTTTTTCCTCTTCCTTTTTGTAGAATGCTCTTGAGATCAAAGAACTCAAAAAGTACGGCCCCTTTGACCCATATATCAATGCCAAGGTGTGTACTTTGCTGTCAGCATTTCACTGCATCATCACTCCAAGCTGCACTCACGTGCTTCCAGGTGCAATAATACCTGTTCACTTTGCAGCTGCTTGGGCAAAAGGAAAATGGGACCATTGATTTACTGTGGGTTTCTCTCTTCAAAGCAGTCATAGAAACATAATTAAAGGGAAGCTTTTCCTTACTTTCCTGGGGGCTCCTTCCTTGCTTAGCCTTGTAGGACTCGCAGTGATGGTCAGTTTGCTTGATTGGGCTGGATGACTTCCCAAAGGTAATGTTACGTCAATTAAATGTTGTAGGTTTTGTTTCATGTGCTGATGTTGCTGATAAATGCAAAGAGAAGGATTTTTTTTTCCCCTGCTTAACCATGGTTGCATTTTCTCTGTGGGCTGTTTGGAGTGAATTTTGATGCCTTTTCTCCTACCAAATGCATAATGCTCTGTGTGTTGTTTGAGTGGACAGTTAATTCCTGTGGTGGTGGTGGGGAGAAGGGAGAGCAGTGATGTTCCTGCCTTCCTTCCCAAGTCCTCCATGCCCTGCTTATTACATCAGCCTCTCTTTTAATGTTCAGTCTGTGGTGTTGTTTGACCCTTCAGCTGTGGTCTCCTGTTCCTGTTTTCTGGCCTGTTTTGCTCCTCTCTTGTTTTCAGTTGTTTCGAGCTACAAAAGACACAACATCAGCTTGTGCAATGTGCTGAGACTGAGCTGTTGAAGAAGCAGATCAAATGGTGGTTTCTCAGACACCATTTTTCAGTTTTATTTCTAGTGAATCTGCAAGCCAGGTGTGGCAGATAATCTGTTGCTCTGTCCTGAGACACCTCTGCCGTGAGCCACTGTGCCACAGCTGCTTCCAGCCAGTTATTTTGGATCCAGCCATCCATGGCAGATTTCTGTCTTTCAGAGTTGCCCTCTGCTCGGTCCGCAGGACCTTAGAAACACACAGCCAGAGCTCCTGTGCTTGTGGAGAGTTAGGCCTGGCTTTCCAGAGCCCTGTTTCAGGGCCCAGTGCCCATCCTCTGAGCACAAAGGCTCAGAGTGAAGCTCATCCAAATCAGGAATTTTTCTATAAATCCAGGTGGGAATTTTATGCCTTTATGTCTTCTGTGAAAACATCATAATTGAGCAGTTCAGTTGCCTGAAAGGAGCTTCTTAAAATATTGTAACCAAATAAAATCTTACACACTCCAGTATTGGGATATTGAATGAAGAAGGAATGTAAAGAGGGAATATCCAGGGAGTTCCCTTTTTTGTGAATTTTTCTTTACAGAGTCTGCTAATTTGGATTTTATACTGTGGAGAAGTGCATTATTTAAAGCCTCAGTTCAGTGTTCACAATGGCTGAGGTGCTCTCTAGAGCAAGACAAGATTTTGGGAATCTTTGCTTTGGTTTTAAAAAAGAAAGAGATGATTTTCACACAGTTGTTGAGTTCATCACAAGTTCTGAGCAGTTTTGCACCAGTTCCTGGCCAGGTGTGATAAAGAGCCTGTGGAGTTGTACATGTCACAGACTCTGGTGTTTTCTCAGGAGCAGCCAAAGAGCAGGTTGTCAATAGGGCAGGACTCTGCTGGACACTCAGACACCGACAAAAATCCTACCAAGGAGTCTTAGAAGTAGGGAGGGTGGGACTGAGGGGCCATGTAGCCACTTTCCCCAACCCTGGGGCACAATCATTTCCTTACACCGTTCCTGACCAGGGTTTGCCCACCAACTTCTCAAAAACCTCAGAGAGAGGCAGCTCTGTGGCCTTTCTTTGGCAGTTCATTCAACCTTTCAGATCTTAGCAGGTCAGAAAACTTTCCCTTATTTAAACCAAGTCTCCGTCTGCTCACTCAGAGCCATCTCATGGTGTGTTGGGAGCAGGGGATGCAGAATGGACACAGCTCTTGAAGGGGCTGTGGATTCTCCACTTGTGCATGTGATGAGGAGCAGCAGGGCTGTGTGTGGTGAGTGGTATCACAGTACCAGGACTTGAAACCTGTGCTGGAGCCCGTAAGAAAGCAGAGCCATCCCTGCTCGTGTCCTGTTTGTGCTCTGCAGATGGGCATTGCTCCCAACTCCTCTCTTCCAGCTGAGAGCTGGGGGAATGCAAGGATTTCTGCAGGAATGCAGCCCCTTGGCCCTCCTGAGTGCTCTATTTTTCTAACTAATTCTGAAATTTGAAGCCATGTGCCTTCTGGCTGTTGGAATGGAATTTTGCTTTTCCATCTCTGATACATCTGTAGGTCTGAGCACTCCTGCTTGCTACTCTGGTTTGTGCCTGGAGAGGTGACACTGGAAGGGAGCAAACTCCCTTGCCTGGAAGAACTGTAGTATTCTTGGCTGCTCAAAACTCCCAAGATGGAGGCAATAAAGACTCAGGCAGTAGTGGGAGTTTCCACTGCACAGTCTGGAATTGGGAGAGACTTGCTGTGATGATTCAGGGGAGTTTTACTGGCTGGTGATCTCTGCTGCAGGAGGAAAGTCTGGGGATTTTGCCTCGGGTATTGGAGCCCCAATCTGCTTAAGGAAAATTGGATTGAATTGCAGAGAAGATGAGGGAAGTCTCTGACAATTACATTTTTAAATGATGTTACGTTGCCATTTCTGAGCTCTCAGGCAGGTGCTGGGAGCTGCTGCATGCTTTAAAGCCCCCTGAGTGATACATACACTGTGCTAGGGAGAAGGGAGAGGGGGACAGTCCTAGCCAAGGAAATCCCCAGTAGCCAGGGCTGGCATTGGCCTGCTGTGTGCCCCCACAGCTCTGGGGCAGGGACCTGCTGCTCAGAGGGGCTGGGGTCATCCAGTCTTTCCACAGAGCTTGGCAGTGAGGATCCCTCGTGCCACAGGGCGGGATGAGAGCCTGGGCCCAGCTGCCGTGGGCTCCCTGATCCCTGCTTTCCCGACCCTGTCAAACGGAAATAATGGGATTTGCCAATCCTGTAAATGCCCGAGAGCAGCAGTGTGAGCTGACAGGCAGGTGAAAGCTCTGATGTTCTCTACTCTGTCCCCTCTCACTCCATTTGTATATTTCTTGTGCAGATTTCTGTATCCTGCAGTACCCTTTGTCCACGTGTATGTGCCTCTCCCCATGATAGAGCCTGGATCTTCTGTGCTGGCAATGATGCTTTGCCCCCTCCCCCTGCATGTGCCTGATTCTGCCTCCTTCCCTCACTGCCGTACCAAACTGCAGCTGCCCGAGTCTCTCCCAGCTCCCGCTCCCCTCCTGCTTTGCCTGTGGCTGAGAGGCGATGCAAAAGCCAGATGCAAACAGCTGGGGGATTGACAGGGACTCCTGAGAGCCTGAGAGGTTGAACACCTCAACAGCATCCGAGTGCTCGTGCAGCCTCACGGGTTTATGACATGGTGCAAAATACTGAGCAGTGTCCCAAGGCATAAGTGTGCTCTCACAGCAGGCGGGCAGGGATCAAATTCCCTTTTGCAGTGGTGCTGCTGCCTCCAGCAGGACAAGAACAAACATTCTGTGTATTTTATTGGAAATGTTGTTAAAATGACAAATTCAACCACAGTTCTTTCAGTTGAAGTGTGTAACTGTTTGTATTAAACTTTTTTTGGGGATTATATAGTTGGATAGTTGTTTCTAAAGTGCTTAAACCAAAATACCTCTGTGGATGGCACACAATAGTAAAACTAGAAACTTGAGGTGAACTTAATTTGAGAAAAGGCCCTGTTAGATATGGCCATGTTCCTGTTTTGCACCTACACATGTGGAGTGTTGGACTGCTCATTTTTGGGCTTTGCATTGCTGGTTCTTAGCCTGGCTGCTGCTGCATGCTCTGGTTTGGGTCTGGCTTCCAGCTGGGAGTGCTCCCTTGTGGCTGAGACCTGAGCCCTGGCTCGTTCCTGTGGTGGTGGAATTGCATGGCTCTCTGGTTCACAAACTGCGTGGGACTGGGTGCATCCTTTCTCTAAACAGCCAGAATTGCAGAGGTGGAATGACTGTTATAAGGAGGATTTGAAACAATTGAAGTTGAAATATAAAATGATGATGATGAAGCTCAGGCAAATACAATTCACACAACAGGTTGCCTGCCTTATATTCAGCCTTTTGTTCTTGTGGCACCCTGAAGTGTGGATGCTGCCAGGATATGAGACTGGCTTCCCCGGGTGCTTGCAGCATTAATGAGAATCTGGATACAGCTCAACATCCCTTAAACTTCAGCTTGGCCCCTGGATTCTGACCCTAGTACTTGGAAAGCAGGCTGGTCCACCTGCAGTCCCTCTCCCACAGCTGAAGTGCTTTGTTCTGGACATCCCCGAAGCTGTGGCTGGGCTGGCCAATCAATGAGCTTGTGAGGGGGATGCTAAACACCCAGGGAGATGATGAAACATTGCTCAGGCTGGTTCAGACTGGGCTCTCTGCTTCCCCACTGCTTTTTTTGTCTTGTTTTTGCATTTGAACTTTAATATTGGAGCGAGGCGCGGGGTGGCCACTTTCCCGGCCCTGACGTGCTGCTGCTTGTGCCCCGCAGAACAATGACAACGAGACAGCGCTGCACTGCGCGGCCCAGCATGGCCACACCGAGGTGGTGAAGGTGCTGCTGGAGGAGCTCACTGACCCCACCATGAGAAACAACAAATTTGAGACCCCCCTGGACCTGGCTGCGCTCTATGGGAGGCTGGAAGTGGTCAAGATGCTCTTGAACGCCCACCCCAACCTGCTGAGCTGCAACACTAAGAAACACACCCCACTGCACCTGGCAGCCAGGAACGGTCACAAAGCAGTGGTCCATGTCCTCCTAGATGCTGGCATGGACAGCAACTACCAGGTATCTGGTGTGTCTGAGTGGGGCTGGGCCGGTGGCTGGGGATTGGAGAGTTCCACCAACCCTCCTCACAGAGGGAGCGCTCGCAGAAGCTGAGGAGAGCTTTGTGTTCTGCTGGGCTGTCTGTGCAGCTCTGGGCTGCTCAGGGAGGCTGCCCGGAGGGACTCAGGTGCTGTGCATGCCTCACGCCTGCGCAGGGGCTGGGCAGAGCCCCGGACATGGAGCGAGGGAGAGAAACACCCTGTGGCCGAAGCTGTTCTGCCCTGCAGTGCTGTGAGCTCTTGACAGGCAAACAAGTCTCTTCCTATCAAGCCACTTGTGAATATGATGTTTTCACAGCAATGGCTTGTATGTGGGTCGTTTTTCCTTGTCAGAAAACCTCTTGCCAAGCTGTGGAAGGCCCTTTGTTGGTCTCTGCTGGAACCATCCCCATTTTTCCATCCCACATCCTCAGCACTGTAATAACATTGACAGTCTGTCCTCAGCCGTAGGCAGTGCTGCCCACACCTCGTGTACAACACCGTGTATTTATTGCTTCTGTAACCCTCTAAGCCATGCCTCCCTCACCATTCCCTGCTGTTTGGCTTCATGCTATGTTTCCATTTAATTTGCAGACTCAGAAAGGCAGTGCTTTGCACGAAGCTGCTTTGTTTGGCAAGACAGATGTGGTACAAATATTGCTGGCTGCAGGTGAGAGAATGTTCCCCCTTTGAAGCACTAATGTGGTGATCCCTTCACCCAGAACTTGAGGAAATCCCTTTCTAGTGAAGCAGGTTTCTCCATCCAGCTGTCGGAGCTCCTTGGAGCAGGATATAGGAGAGGTTGGCTCTTGCAGTTTGGCTTTAGATTTGTCTCTAGAGTGCCTTTTAGCTTCCCCCAGTGATGATCACAGATGTGACTTGATGAAATACATGAACCTGCACACAGACAATATTCTTGCTTTTGCCCTCTATACCCCTGTGGCCACAGGTATTGATGTGAACATAAAGGATAACAGAGGCCTGACTGCTCTGGACATTGTGAGGGAACTTCCTTCCCAGAAAAGCCAGCACATAGCAGCTCTCATTGAAGGTGGGTAATGCAGCTCTGCCTCTGGGGAGGAGGGGAAAGCTTGGGGTGTTGATTGTGCCAGGGCAGGTACAGGATGTGCTTTCCTAGACCTGGAAAGTGCTGAAAGCAAAGCAGCTTCAGGCTGTGTTGGAAGAACCTGTGCTGAAACGCTGGGGTGAGCTTCTCCAGACCAAATATTTGGAGGAGGACTTGGGGGATTTAGGAGGATTAGCCCTTTGCTGAGAGAGTGTGGCGTGACTTTTACAGTTTAAATGGGCTTAATTGAGCTTTGTTTAGCTCACTTTAGAAGTTAATTAAAATTAAGGATAGCCTAAATCTGCTTTGCAGAATGCAAAGTAACAGCTTTAGAAATGGTTCTGGTGTAACTCCCCTTTACGTGTCTGTGTACGCAAATTGTTGTCCACAGATCTCACATCCTGCTCCTCGCCTTGTTGTGAGGCTTGGGCATGGAATTTGCAGATGAGATTTACAGAAAAGGCCTTGATTACTTGTGTTTTATAAAGCAGCTTGGTCCATTGTGTCTGTCCAAATTCGGGAATGAAATGTGACATCTTGGCTAAATTCATACCTTGTAATTACGCTGTCTGCATTTCCTCTCAGCTGTGGGGAGGATCAGAAGCATTTAGAGATGGGGTGTGTTATTCATGCTGAGCATTTGGGAGCTTTGCAGGTTCAAAGCACTTCTCAGACTTTTAACTAAGTTGTGCCTGTGAGGCTGCAATGTTTGAGCTTTATTCTGAAACCGAAGACAAAGATGGGCTTTAAAACTGAAGGTGTTGCAGATAAAGGCTGTTTTCCCAGGGTGGGAGCTGCTGTTGGCTGTTACATCAGCTGAATGTTTCTGGATTTGCCTGTGGCTGGGGGCTGCAGCTGGAATTGGTTTCTCTCGTTATGACTCTGTTCAGTGATAGAGTTTGTGTCTACAACACGGATTTGCTCCATGACTCTGTGTCCGTGCAGCAGCTTTGCAGATTTCTGATTAAAGACTCTGAAAGTTCAAAAGACCGTCCCTACCCTTGTGCCTGTGATTAAAGAGGCCGCCTGCTTCTATTTTGGGATCTTAGCTGCAAGTTTTAATAATTTTATTTTTTTTTTGACACTTAATAAGCTGACAGTTGGCCTTCCACCCACAAGGGAGGAAGTGTCATGTGCTGAAGGGGACAGAAAACCAGATTTGATGTGAGCTGACCCTGTCCCCCAACCCCCTTGCAGATTACACCATTGGGAAGAAAAGTGCCAAAGCTGTGGAGAAATCTACTCCAGCCCCGCTCGCTCCAGCCACCGATCCCTCAGGCCAGATGTCTCAGGGTAGGTATCACCAGCATTCCTCTCCCTGCCAGCACCGAGGTCAGGAGATCCAGTGACAATCCTGGCTCTCTCTTCCCCCCACAGGTGATGTGGACAAAGCTGTCACAGAGCTGATCATCGATTTCGATGTGAACCCCGAAGAGGAGAGCCCATACGAAGCTTTGTACAATGCCACGTCCTGCCACTCCCTGGATAGCCTGGCCAGTGGGAGATCATCCGACCGGGAATCTGTGAATAAAGAAACTGAACCAAGTGGCCTCAAAGCAGCCAGAGTCAGGCCTGTACGTAGCTCATCCCTGCTTGCCCTAGAGGCACAGGGGGCTGATCTGCCAGGGTCAGGTTTTGCAGCAGGCTGCCCAAGCTTGAGGAAATCTTTAAATCCTTTCCTAACATTGATGAGAGCAGGCAGGTGCTTCTCCTTCCCTGCCCTGTTCACAGGGATTGCCTAAAAGCAACTGCTGCTTCATTTCACCTTGTACTGTATCCTTCTGTTTTCTGGCAGTTCACTGATGCAGGTGAATTGTGATGTCAGGAGATCACATTTTGTAGAAGGGCTGACTTCTTGTTCTGAAAACGGTTCTGGAAACTTGTGTGGAGAATCTTCTCATGTCTCACCGCTTTACCAAAGCAAAGGCTCTCAGGAAATTATCTGTAATAACCTGTTGGAGACTAGTTGACAGTGGAAGGTTTCTTTTTGTGTATTACTTGCACAGCTCTAGAGGGTACTCCAGGCTTTACAAGGCAGTGCTGAGCTCCTGGAACTGTCCCCAGAGAAGTCTTCCTCACCTTCTGTCAGCTGCATCTGCTGCCCCAGTAGCAATCGGCAGGAAGACTGCTGTGGGGCAGATGGGACACAGGCCCTGCAGTGCTAGGTCAGCTTCAGGCTCTGTGTTCTGGTTGGTTTTCCAAAGCCTGCTCTGTGGAGGTGTTTTTGGACAAAAGGCAGAGCAGCAGTGAACAATTAAACTGCTGGGGGCACAGTAACCATGGTTCCCCTCTGTGCAAAGAGGTGCAGCCTTTGGCTTGTGCTGAGAGCAAGCAGAATAGAAATGAGACAAAAGCTTTGGATGATGGACATTTTGGCCAAATCTCTCAAGTGTGCAGTACCAGGCAGTGCTGCTACTGATCAAATCTTGTCATTGTCCTGTGCTGATGGAGTCTGGTCTGAAACGAGCTCAGTTCTGTCACAAGTAAGGAAAGACAAGAGCTGAACTGCAGTGAAAAGAGAGCAGGAAGAGGGACATGCTCCAGTAGCTCTCTGGAGTTTGAGCAGTGCAGATCTGCTGCTCCCTTTGCCATTAGATGGAGCTGTGGCTGGGCAGGAGGTGGCCCAGGATGTGCTCAGACCAGGCAGCTGCCCAGCTGCAATCCCGGGATATCGGAGGAGAGCAGTGCAGCATAGTTTCCTGATCCCTAGAGCTTTCCACTATAAAAGGTGCCTCTGGCATCAGTTTCACTAAGCTGCAAACCCTTTCTTCTTATCAGCTCATTGCTCACTCCCATGTGTAATGCTGTGGAGATACTGGTTTGGGTCTGAGTGAGACTGGCGTGAACAGATCAGTGTCCTGAAGAAGAGGAGAACAAGGCAGCGGCCATTGCCCAGCTCTGTGCTGTTAGGGCTGAACTTCTCCTCCACCCAGATTAATTTGAAGAGGTCCTTGCTTCCACAGCAGTGGGGACATAAAGCTGGTAGGGGCAGAAGGGATGAGCTGACAGTGTCTGTCTCACCTGCAGAGAGAACGTCCTCCCCCGCCGGCCAAGCCTCCGCCTGATGAAGAGGAGGAACAGAATGTGGAGAAGAAGACAGGCCAGAGTGCTCCCTGCGAGGTACATGGGGCTGGCTCTGGGGTGTTTCATGGGAGAGTGGTTTAAACATCAGTTTTAATAGTTTGGGAGGAGCTAAGGATGCTGTTACCTCCTGTGCTCGTTGGGCTGTGAATGTGAAGTATTCCAGCACTCAGCATTGCTGCTGTCCCTTACCATGGGAACTTCCTTTGTCTGGTTCTTCCAGGGCACCTCAGAGTTGACCTTCAGCCTTACTTTCCTATTCTTGGCTGAGAATTCCCTTAGGAAGAGATTTTTCTGACCCACATTGCAATGTGGACCATTGCCCGCTGGCAATGATCCCACCACAGGCATCTTCAGTTGGACTGAAACACAGAGGGGCCATGAGTTCCTTCTTCCTCTGAGCTCCCAGCTGTGGAGGAGCTTCATGGTTTTGTGGGTCCCACTGGCATGAGCAAGGATCAGGGGCTTGAATTCAGCCAAGGATCTGTCCCAGCATGTGTTAAAGCTGCCTTCTGCAGGGGTCAGTGCATGTGAGCTGCTTTCTGATGGAGCTCAGGCTCTCTCATTTCATATTGTTGCTGCTGGGGCTGTTGCTTGTCTTATTCACCAGCCTGTGAACCTCAGATGTGAGGACTCTCTGGGAGACATGGCAGTGAGAAACCACAAATGTGCTTTGGCAACTTCTGCTGACACCTAAGGAAACCTTCAAAGCAAATCCAAATCCTGTGGATTTCTGTGCTCTCCCAAAGGCAGTGAAGTTTGTGGAGCGTGTGCCACCTCTGCTGTCAGAGCAGGCTCTGGTTCCACAGGTGCTTTCTCTGAATGTGCTGATCTGCTGGAGGCATAAATGGGATCTGTTTTCTGGAGAGTGTGAAATCCACACGAGACATGGGTGAACATGGCCTGCTGTAGTAGAACTGACTGCAGAGAGGGAGTTAACTCTGAGCTGTGTGTGAGCAGGGAAACTGGGATGTGACACTGTGGACTGATCCCTGCACTGTTGTTCAAATACAGGGGATAGTGACCAGTCCTGTGCCTGGCTCTGGCAGAGGAGAGCTGGGCAGCAGGTCATGGAGTAATTGGGAAGCAGAACTTGTTTATGACAATAAACACGAGGGAGGGAAACGTGCTCTGACCATTCCTGCTGAGCTTTCTTGCCATATTTAATTACCAAACACCTGCTGTGTTGTCCTGCCTTTAATGGCTTTGGAAGCACAATCCATTAAAGGGAATCTTGCTGGCAAATGGCAGAGTGACTCGCTGGGGAGATCTTGATTAGTGACCAACTTCAGTGACAAAACTTACAGGCAGCATGTGGCTGACAGGAAATGACCTTTTGGACATACTGATGAGGAGTTTGGGTTGATCCTTTTACTCTGCTTGTTCCTCCTGTCCTGCTCTGCTTTTCCTACTCTTGCCCATCTTTTATCACCTCAGAGCTTGCTCTCCCTGGGCCAGGCAGGTGTGCACATGCTCTGGAAATGCTGTAAACATTCTGCTGCAGCATCCCAATCTGCCATTCTCCAGCCCTACTCTCCCATTGGAGCCAGGACACTTAGTCATTGAGTGTTCTGGGGTTGGGCCAAACTCTGGTTTTCCAAAAAACTCTGGTTTTCTTTTTATTCCTTGCCAAGCTGCGGCTATCAGTCAAAACAGATGAGCCTAAACAAGAAACTTCACTTTCATCAAGGAAAAGCACTGGTACAAACAGGCAAAGGAGCTAATTGTTTGGAGGTTCTTGAGTGATGCCTTTCACTATCTGCAGAAACCTTCTGGGTTTGGAGCTGAGTAAGAGTCTGCACTGTCAAATTAAACTTCAGTTCCAGTTGTTTACTGCTTGTCTCTGGAAGGGAAGTTCAGATCAAGGACAAGGCGCCACGTTGGCTCCTGGAGTTTGGTCTGCATCTCTGGGGAGGGAGAAGAGAGGAAGAGATGAGTTACCCTTTAAAAAGTCTTTCAAAGTCCTCTGTGGTGGATTAAGTACACCTTAAAGAGCATCCTCATTATTCACAGCATCTTATTTTTGGGCTTTGCTAGCAATGAACATTTATACATGCAAACAGCATGGCTGAAGAACTAAAAGCTGGATTGGATGAAAGCTTTACTTGGTGGTGTTGCTCCTGGTCACAAAGCCCACAGAGCAAGCAGGGTTCTGCAGCACTGGTCTTTGTTTTGAGTGAGTTTGAACTTGAAACACTATTTAGAGCTTGGAAGGATGAGAGATGGAGAAAATCAAGTATCACCAGGCCTGTGAAAGTTCATAGAGTAGCAGCTGGGAACTGTGCTGCTGGAGAGCTTCTGCCTTTGGTGCATTTAAATAGGACAGCACAGGAGTCATCATCCACAGGAGTGTCAGGAGAGCACCAGAGCCTGGCTGAAGGTCCAGGCTGCTGCTGTGCTAACAGGCTGCTGCTGGGCAGGATTTTTCCAAGATCACTGGCAAGAACCTCTTACCTGCTGTTCTGGTCTGATGGTTTTGTGTCACCATCTGGTCAGAATTTTTTCCTAATTTGCTCATTATGAGCTCCTTCACCTGGAAAGGAGCAGGTCTACCTGGCAGCTCCTGCTCAAAGGAGGTAGAATAAATATTTTCCATGTTGGACATGGCCCATTTTCTCTCATTGGGAAAGTCACTTTAAAAGCCAGCTGGGTTCTTGCAGAACAGCACATGGATGTCAGAATCCTGTCTGTGCTGCTGACTCTTGGGTGCCTCTCCAAGACTCCTTTAAGCTTCCAGGGCTCCTGGCTGGGTTGCAGTGAGGTAGGCACCGGTTTGCTCTTGGAGCAGCTCTGATGTTTTCACTCTGGGGAGAAGCAGGAGGTGGTTTGTGCTCTGCTGACAAGACAGTGGCATGTCCAGGGGTCTGAGCAGTAGGAGCCCTCCCAGGGGGCATGTTTTGTTCAGACCTGTTGTTCCCTGTCCTGGCAGCAGCTTGTTTGCTTTCTGGCTTGGGTTTGTCCCACTGTGGTTGGGTGTAGTCACACATGGGGTCATGGAGGGGTTTGAGCTGGAAGGCACCTTAAAGATCATCCAGTCCCAAGCTCTTCTCATGGGCTGGGACACCTGCCACTCACCCAGGTTGCTCCAAGCCCCATCCAACCTGGCCTTGAACACTTCCAGGGCATTCAGAATTTTCTCTCACTCCATGCCCCTCCCCAGCTCTCTTGGAACCTCATAGGGTGCATTCCTGGGTCACGTTGAGCTCCTGGGACAGGGTTGCATCAACCTGCCAGGATCTGGCCAGGAGATGGTGCTGAAAGGCAGCTGACTGTGCTGTTTTCAGCCGACTGGGCCAGTTTAGCTCCTTCAGCACTGGGATGGCACATGAGGGTATCCAGTGCCTGTCATCCTTGGCATTGATGCAGACCAACATGTGCGAGTCTGCAGCAAGATTTGTCTGGATCTTGCACCAAAACCTCATCCCTGCACATGGCTGGTGGCTTTCCAGAACAGCTGAGAAACTGCCAGGGTTACAAACCAACTCTAAGTAGAGGCTTTGGGGGATTTAAATGAGCACAATCACTGCTGCACATCCTGAAGTTAAACTGAGTTCATACAGTGCTTCCTGAGGACTCTTTAGTTCTGAATATGCCGTACATCCTGAGGTCACAAATGCAGATCTGAGATGCCTGAAATGGTGGCGGGGATTTGGGCTTTTGTTCTTTTTGGCCCTGTCCTAATAGGGCCGGCAGCTAAAAAGTGAATGACGATGCAAATTCCAGTAGCAACAGTGAGTCTGAGATGGGATGAACAGGAATAATGGTCTCGGCTCTTTTCCCCCTCCCAGGCTGTCTGCAGCCAACTTGCACAGTTGGTCAGTACTGGAAAGCTGTCAGCAGCCTGAAATACTAAAAATTAAAGGGGTTTGGGTGGGGTTTTTTTGAGGGGGTTAAAAAACCCCAAAGGAGAGTATTACATTTTAGCTCACACTCTGCAGTGAAGGTGCTGCCTCTGCTTAACCCGTGGCATAGAGGCTGTGGGGTTTATGCTTATTGCTTTGCAGAGCACCACACATTGTGCTGTTCTTCATTAGGCCTCTGCTGCCCGGGGAAAGAACAGGGGAAGTGGAGCTGAGGAAGAGGAACACCCCTACGAGCTGTTGCTTACAGCAGAAACTAAAAAGCCAGTTGCAGTGGACAGGAAAACAAAAGGTGAGTGACCATCCAAAAAGCAAAGCTGTTTGCTTGCATGCACTTCAGGAAAGCATGGGGGGCAGAGGGCAAATGAAACAATGAAAGTCTCTACTGGGTGGGGGCTGGAGGGTGATTGTTGTGTTTCCTGGTAATCTCTCTGTAAAGGAGAGCTCTGAGCGTTCCTGTACAGAGTGTACATGGAGAAAGGGCAGTTCCACTGTGGGACAGTTCAGAGATTGCAAGGATCTGCTCTGTGACCTCAGAAACGCACAAATCTCATGCCTGGCCAAGCAAAGGCAGAGGGTGAGAGGCTGGAGGCTGTACCTCTGCCAGGGAAGATGAGCAACACGAGTGTGCCAATGAGCCGTGTTCTCCATCCAGCTGGTGCTGCAGATTTCTGCTATCCTGCTGTAAAATCAACATCCTGCTCTATGTTAGAGCTAATTTGAGATAGAAACTAACAGAGGAGGAAAATAAAAATGTGTAGAGCAAGAACTAGAACTGTCTGAGACCACTGGGGTACACAGGTTGATATTGAGGCAGCTTCTCCTTCCCTGGAAGGACCTTTGAGCTTTACAAAGCCTCTGGGAACACCTTGTCTCTTGTGTTTGGCTGTTGTTGGCTTTTTGGCTTTCCTTCAACAATAACAACAGAAGATTTGTTTAGAGGGAAAAGATTTCTGCTTTATTCAGAAGTCCTGAGCAGGAATTTGGGTGGATTTAGTTTGAATTCTCACACTGGAACCCCTCTCCCTCTGAGGATGGACAGGGCTAACAAGGACTTGAGGTGATGCCTCATTGACTGCTTTGTCAGACCTGCAGCTTTTTCCCCTTCTTGCAGCATAATATCTATCATTGCTCGGGTCCTGCTGCTCTCCTGGCTGCTCCAGGGTGGCACAAGAGGTCATTGTGTTCCCACCAGCACTTGCCAAAGCCCCTCACTGCCAGAGGCAAATTTTGTGAGCTTTTCAGGTTGGTGCTTTGCAGTCTGGGCCAGGAACAGTCCTTGTGCAGCAGCCACTGAGCCTGGGTTTTCAGGCTTTCATCAGTGGGCAGCTATTATTATTATTGCTGGTTATTCAGGCTTGAGCTATTCCAACTGCTCCACTCCTTCCCCTGGCTGCTGTGTCCAGGCTTGATTGAGAAGAGTGGAGGTGTGTCCTAATTATGTGTCAGCTTAAAATAAAACCTGAGAGTAACACAGCTGCCTATTCTTGATGCAGATCTTTTCTGAACACCTGAACACAGGAGAGGTTGCAGGAAGATCTTTATGGATCCTTTTATAGATCTAGAGCAGAGTCCCATCTTTTAATGTACAGTTGGAAAGATCAAAAGTGTGACTTCACAGTTTGCACTCCATGGAAAGTGTTGGTAACAAGCTTGGAACCCTTCCCACTGTTACAGTGGGAGAAATACAAGGATACAGTTGAGCTTTCCTCATCTTTCCTGACTTTCCCATTCTTTAAACACAGTCAGCACTGAGGCTGGTGGGGGGGGGGGGGAAGATAAATTTAAGGAATGGCAGAATTAAACAGGAGAGTTGAGGGAGAGACCAGAGCCTTACTTGGGGTGTTGGAGAATTTTCCCACCTCTGGGTCAGAAGGGTCCTGGAGCATCAAAGGCAGCAGCTCAATCACTCAAGACATGGAACAGGCATGGCTTTGAACTGCTTCTTGGCTCTCAGTCTGAAGGTCTGGCCTTCTGCATGAGTTCTGGAGCAGCATTTGGTCAGGAGAGGAGGGCTTGGGTTCTTGTGGCTGTTGAAAGGGGTTTCAAGGCAGCGGAAAGGCTGAATTTCAGGCAAGTGGGTTTAATGGTGCCTTTCATCTGTGATAGCTGCCTTTGTTCCTCTGGCTGCCAGTTGTCTGGTGTCCAGCAAGCAGATGAATGTAGCATTATCCACTGGCTTTGGTGGCCTTTGTGTCTCTTAGAGCAGCTCACTGTCACATGCTTGGAGCACTGGGAGAAGTTGGCCTCATGTTTTGGGCAGAGTATCAGAAGTGGCTTAAGCCAAATGCTCTCCCATCCACTTTGGTGTGCAGTCACATGTGTGAAGTCAGGGCACTCAGGCCTTCTAACAGGGTGTGAAAATAAAGGAAAAGCAGAGGAATGTGTGTGGAGTGACCACGAGGAGGCTTTTCAGCTCTTGCTGCCTCCAGAGAGACCTAATGGAGGGTGAAAACACTTGAGTTTTGAGCTGTTTGGCTTCTCAGGAGTCACACCCAGGTGTTGTCAGCAGTGATCAGCTGCAGGTAGGACTGATTTGGTGCCTTCTGGTAGTTATTACAAACTGATACTTGTTGAGGTTGTTCTGTGCTGCTTCTATAGGTGGTCCAGCTTGAAGTCCCCACTTTGCCCTTCCTCTTGTTAGAAATTTTCTTTGTGGTTATACTGGTTCAACCAGCACAGTGTGACTGTGCTGCTAACCAGAGAGCTGGAATGAACCAGCAATAAGGTCAGAAAATGCTGCAGAGAGATTGAAAGAAGCACTTTTCTGAGAGCCAGAATGTGGCTGCTGAAGCAGCAGGGTGGCCATCACTGTGGGGTTCCGTGGGGACACTTGGTTATTGCAGGCAAAGGTTTGGGAACAGCTCTTGGTTTGCTGTGAGATGAAGGACAGTACAAACCCACAGCCTACATGTCCTCATATGGTATAATCATGGACAGAGGACAGACCTCTGTCCTGTATCCTGGGCCCAAGCCTGTGGTTCTGCTGTCTTCTGTTGTGCGGAGTCACATTAATATTCTCTAAGCAGGTTGCCCTTTCTCTAATTGCCCTTTCTGAAGAGGGGAGTACAAAAGAGCACAAATTCAGGTATATAAACTCTGCCTGGAACGACTGAGCTTGGTGAGGTTAATGCAGGAGTGTGCCATCCTCAGCTGGGTTCCACAGGTAGCTGGCTGTGCAATGGGCCTGTATTTGGCTCTGTTGTAGGTGAAAGATCTTTTTGCACCCCTCAAGGTCAGCTTCTTCCTCTGGCCTTCTGTTTCACAGGAGGGAGATTCGCCTGCTCCTCACTGGACAAATTCTGGCATGATATAACATGGGCAGCCTTTTCCACATGCAAATCAGTGTCTGCTGTATGTCCTCACTAATTTTAAGGTTGGGGAGCTTGAGCAGGCAGCAGCAGCAGGAACAGCTTCATTCTCCTAATCCAGGGTCATGAGACAAATCCTGCTGTTGATATATAGGGAAAGAAATCCAGTGGAGGCAGGGCGGTTACAGCTTAGCACAGAGTGTTTAAGGAAGTGTTTCGTATCTGGAGTCCTCAGGCTGCTGGCAGGGAAGCTGTTATTGGAATCCTCCCTGGGATGTAGACAGTCTGTACCCAGGAAGGGTTGGGAGCAGCCTCCTCTGTGGTGAGACCTGCATCAGGCTGTGGCTGAAAAAGGCAGGATCTGTCAAATGATCTGTGCTGGGGTGTAAAACAGCAAAGGGACTGGAAATCCATGAAGGGAGCTGGGCAGAAGTCCCTGTTCTAAGGACCCTTTCTGAGTGTAACTCAGGTGTAACTGGAGGAGAATGATTTTTTTCAGATCCCCGAAAAGGAGAGGCGTGGAGAGCCCTGCATGTTCCTGCTGCGTGCGCTTCAGTGACAAAAAGACTGCGATGACTTTCTGTATTAGCTCTTCTGTCTGCAGCTTTCAGGGCAGGCTCTGAAATGTCTCCTTCAAGATGTTTCTCACAACTTCTAAGCAAGTGCTGTTGCCCTCGCTCCATTCCTTCCTTCCCTGGCAGCTGCCCTGTGTTTCAAAGTCCCTCTTCAGCTCATGGATGAGTGGGTGACTGGGATTCCTGTCCAACAGGAGCCCTTTTGTGAGGTGCTGGAGCTGGATTTGAAGCACTTTGTTCTGGCTGGACTCAAGTGTTACAGCACATGGCACAAACTTTGGCCAGCCGCCTCTCTGCCTTTAGCAGAAATGTCAGTAAAGGCTCGGCTGGGGCATGGAAGAAACAGTTTCCAAGGAAGGGAAGAGGTTGGGAAGAAAACCTGCAAAAGTTCATCTTTCCCCACAGGTTTATGTGACTGTCCCATCACTGCTGTCATGCTGACCTCTTTGTAGCTTTGCATTAGTACTACTCTGTCCTGTGAATGCAGCACATCTGATTTCCTCTGAGATTTGTCCTGTGAGGTTTCTCTCCAGCATCGGAGTGTTAGAGCTTTATGCTGAGTAACTGGGTTTAGTCTGGCCTTGTAATGTGGGGTGCTGAGCTGGTCCCTCTCAGCCAGCACTGGGACCTGCCTTCCCCTTGGCAGCTCCAGTCACAGAAGTGGTGTTTTATGTGCCTGTGCAAGAGAGTCAACAACTACTTCACTGTCCTGGAATCTCTAACTCATAGGATCCAGGATGAGATAATCCCTTGCATCACTCGATCCCATTGAGGGCTGTGGCTGCTCCTGGCCTTCCTGTGCCTGCAAGAAGGACTCACCATGCTCATCAGGCATGGGGTACCTGGGACCCCCACACAAAGGCGAATGACTATTTTAGCCCTTTCCTGCCCATTTCTGGTATGAGGACAGACCACAAAGCCCAATGGGTATTGGTGTTTGAAAATCCCCTGGTCAGGCTTGGTGCTGGAAATGTGCTGGGAGCTGAGTTGGGCTCTCTGCTGCTAACAGGCTGCTTTTAGTTAGAGTAGAGCTCATTATTTTGCTCACAGAAAGGAGGGTTCCTTTGCCTTGGCTTCCCAGAGCTGCTGTCTGCAAAGCAAGTGATTTCCTCTTCACGTCCAAACATCCTCCCTGCACTTCAGAGCCTCATTATCAGAGTATTTCACTGTATTGTTCCCTTGCAGCATCATTTTTTAGTCTTCAGCACTAAATGGAAGCAGTTAAAATTCACAAGCAATGCTGGGAGGGTGAAGGAATCCTAGGAAACCAAAGTTAGACTTGTTGGCTTGACAAAGTTTTGCTTTTGCAGTTGAAATGCTCGTTCAGCAGTGACGAAGGTGAGTGTGTGTGTGTGTGCGTGCGTGTGCGTGCGCTCAGCGCTTGGAATCAGTCAATTGTTCGTGGTTTATGCAGGACCCTGGTACCTGATATTAAGGCTGCTGGGGCAGGAGTAGCTGGGAACCAGTGTCATGTTTCTGGGGCAGCCGGTGCTCCACCAGCTCTGACCACTCTGTGCTCAGTTCATCGCAAAAGAGACTTTTTACTCGAGCTTTTTTTCTTGCATAAACTGTTTATTTCTCTCCCCTGAGCAGGGAGGAGAGGTTAAACTCAGAAGCCACTAGGGAGGGAAGCAGTGGGTTTTTTTGGGAGCGGATTTTGGAACTGGCAGGTCAATTACAGTCCAGGCGTTTTCCCACCCTGCAGCCCGTGCCAAGAGCCAGGCGCACGGCTCTAAATAACACTCTGGTCTTTATGGAAACGGATCAGATGTTCCAGGAGCCTCTGTCTCTGCTGCTCCCACCTCACTTGCTCTCTCTGCAGGATATAGTTAGCACTTCTCTTGGCCTTATATAGCAAGGCCTGATAGTTAGTGTTAACAGGAATAAAAAACACGGAGAGCTGCCAGATTGCGTAAATCGGGCCAGTGTTTGGAATTTCATAAATGCCATGACTTTGGGTACAAGTTGAGCACATGGAACAATACAGAACTGTTCTCTCTTTGTCTCTCCCTCCCTTGCTGAGGGAGGGCAGGGAGAGAGCTGGAATTTTGCTGCCGCTTCTTCCATGTTTTTAATTTCCCCCTCCTCTCTGTTTTCATCCCCTTGAAGACCACAGGAGGAGCAGCGGCAGCCGCAGCCAGGACTCTGCTGAGAACCAGGATATCCAGGTGCCAGAGCAGTTTTCAGGGTTGCTCCACGGCTCTTCTCCAATCTGTGAGATAAGTGAGGACCCTTTCAGGCTCATTTCCTCTGCGGAGAAGGGGGACACGGAAGCCACGAGCCACCCCGCTGCTATGCAGCTGGAGGATGCTGAGTTACCCTCGTCAGGACCAGCACGGAGCAGTTCCCCGGACCCCACGCAGACAGTGGTGTATGCCACGGTGCAGCACGTCAGTCGGGCGGATCCCGCGGCCGTAGTCACGCCCTATGTGCCGCAGCACCCCAGCGGTGCTGAGCCAGAGGGGGACAGAGCTGTGGGCAGAGCCCACCCGGGCAGCAAGCCCAAAGCCGAGCTCAAACTCAGCCGCAGCTTGTCCAAGTCGGACTCTGACCTGCTGACCTGCTCCCCGACGGAGGACGATGCCATGGGGAGCCGGAGTGAATCACTCTCCAACTGCAGCACTGGGAAGAAGCGGCTGGAGAAGTCCCCATCCTTCGCTTCAGAGTGGGATGAGGTAAGGCTGAGCTTGCTAAAGAGCCTCTGTGCCAGGAATGACTGTGCAGCTGGAGCTCCCCTCTGCCATGCTGCCCTCAGGGGTCCTGGGTGGGTTCCATTGCTTCCGCAAACTCTCACAAGGCATTGACAGGCACGTGCTCACTTGGGAACCTGCAAATGCCAAAAGATAAAAGTTCATTGGAGTGGGGGAGTAGCAGAATTGCAAGCAGTTTCAAAGTTTTTTACTCAAATACAGGGCTTGGTTTCTTTTAGGCAAGCCAGATATGTTTTCACATCTCCAAAATGAGAAAGACTTGATAACAATGCCCTTCACCAACCTTTCTCCTGATTTCCTCCTTCCAGTTCTTCCCTGTTGACTATCCCAATGTCTTGGAAGTGTTGTGTTGCTGGGTCCCTGCTGCTGGGGAGTGTGAGCAGTGCCCAGGGGTTTGTGGGGACGGAAGGAAGAACAGTAATTAGGCTGGTTTGTATATTTGATAGCTCCCGCTCTCCTCCTCGCACGCTTATTTCAGTGGCTGGTTAGCTGTCACTTTATTATCATATCGGACGCCCACGGACAGTTAAATATTTCATGCTCAGAAGGTTGGCTCTGGAGAGCCACCGGGGCAAGATTAAGTGTCCCTCTGAAATTCAGCACCGCAGCATTACTGAAACATTCTTTGGGGATGATTCTGTGCTGGGAGAGCCGGGGCTGCATAAGAGATAAGCTCAGATGAACCACTCTTTGTACTCTGAAAGGAACTAAAACCCCGGGGGTGGTACTGTGGGTGTGGAGCGGCGTGTGTCGGGCGTGGAAACCCGGGGGAGGGTTGTGCCCCTTCGCTGGCTGATGCTCAGCTGCCTCTCCAACCCTGACCCAGAGAGAAAATTAAAATCTAGGGAAGAGGGAGATATTTGGAGATGCTAAGAGCAACGTGAGAATCCATCCCTCAGTCTGTTCTCTCCCTCCCCCTTACTCCCTGCTGGGTCTCAGGGCTGCCAAATAGATATTTTCCTCTGCAGCTGCTTGGGCTGGAGAGGCTTCACTGTTAATTGCCCAGGTCAGTTGTACTATGGCTTAGGGAAAGGCTCTGCAGCAGAAGGTTCTTTGGAAGGGCTGGATAATTCCCTGTGCTTTTATCTGAGCTGTTTGCAGCAGACACTGAAAGGGCAGAAGCCTTTGGCATGACTGTATTGGTAGCAGAGGTCAAGTGCTGGGCTGCCTGCACTGCCTCTGCTTCCTCTGCTCAGATGAACCCTGGAGCTGCTTCCTCCTGCCTGTAAACAAATCCCTCATTTCCCCTGAGGTGGCCAGACGTGCCCCAGGAGAGGAATCTGCTTTTCCTTCCCCTCATGTTTAGGTGAAGAAATCAGAGAAAGAATGTGAAAAATTCACATCTGTCTGCAATGGGGCAGGTCTCACTTTTTTTGAAAGTCTGGCTGGTTGTGATGGCAACAGTGAGATTTAAACATAAATGTAATTCTGTGGTTGTGTGTTGAATTAGTTCCCTGGATGGGATAATGCAACTGCTCAGAACTGAAGGCAACTTTCAGCCTCTGCATTTACCCGGGCAATATAAACCTTGTTGAGCCACCCCTGTCAGCAATGGTTGGCTTTCCCTCTGTGCTGAGCAGAAACAATGGCAGATTTATATTATTCTATTAATTTTAATGGCCTTCATGCAGGTGACTAAGGAGGAAGGTGTTTTTTTGTGCAGTTCTCTGTGGCTTCCAGCTGTACCAGGCAAGCTGAGGACTCTGCCTGATGGTCTGGTCAGCAGTAGGTGTGTCTGTGCAGGGCACAGGGGCTTGGGGAGGGATCTGTGGTGTCCCTGGACAGACGAGATCCTGATCTTGCTCTGGGCTGTGGTGGCTGACTAGGGACAGCAGAAAATCTGCTGCTTGTAAGCAAAGGGTCACATCCTTGCCCTGGCCGAGCGCTGCCAATGCCCTTTGTTGGGAGTGGAAGGTGGTGCTGCTTTGCCAAAAGGGTGGGATGGGGAAGGAATGATTCACTTGGCAAAGCTCATCCCTGTTCCCAGTTGCAGCTCCCCTGCTCCAAGGGCCTGGCCCAGAGTGTTGCTTTGTACTCTGTACTGTCCAGGAGCCCCATCAGCCCATGTCCCATCTGCTCCTGAGCCCCTGCTCCTTGCTGGAGTGGCAATGCACACGTGGTGCCCCTGCAGCTACTGTCAGGTGGGGCTTCTTTGTGAGCAAAGCAGAGAAACTCTTGCATCAAACATCCACGTATTGCCCAGGGAAGTGAGGACTGAAAATGCTCAGTCCTGCTCTATTGCGAAGCACGGTGGGGGCAAGGAGGCATGTGAGGGGCGTGAGCTCTCAGTCAGCATAAATATTTGAATCCTTCCAATTCTCTCTGAGGACTGAAGTGATGGGTTTGGTGTTCATCATTGGCTCATGAATATTGAGCAGACAGGGATGAGTGGGGCAGCGGCAGCTCATGGAAGGGTTTGGCTCAGAACAAGCTGTATTTGCACCTCTGAGGGAGGGGAGCTCTGGCCCTCAGCCCCACTGCCAGCCCCCTTTTCAGGGTGGATTAACTTGCTTCTGCTCTGCCTTTCTGCTCTGTGGAGCAGCTCCAGACCTGCCCTTCAGCCTGGTTCATGCTCCAGGCTCCGAGCAGGGATATCTGCAGTCAAAGCCTGGGGCTGCTCTTCTGCCTCGTAGGTGCTGGTAAGAAAAACAATCTGTTAAATGATCAGGGCAAAAAACAAGGAAGGCTGCTGTGAATTAGCCTCAGACCTAGCTCCTGACATCCCTTAACATCCCCTGACATCCTCCACTTCCAGCTGCCTGCTATCAAGTCAATGCTGAATTTGAATTTTGGAGTATCCATCTCACAAAATGAGGTTGTAGTTCTGTGTTCTGACTTAAGTCCTCCTAGGAAGAGATTAAATGTCCTTCAAAAAAAATCTAGGGAACTGAATAAAACATGCACATTACTTTATTTTATTTTTTTTTAGAAAAAAGGAGGTGCACAGTCCACCACTTTTTATTTTCCCCAAGTGAATTAGTTGAAGAGCTAATGAATATTCTGTAGCTAATTATGGCACTGGACATTCATCTCTGATGGCTAGCTGCATGTTGACTAATTCCATGTCCCCTGAAAGGAATGCTTTGCATCTGCAGCAACCATGGATGTGGTGTTTCACCGGTTCCTGACCTCTTCAAGGGCTGTTGGTGTCCCCTAAGGGTGGATGCCAGGAGCAGATGGCATATCTGTGGTGCCTTCCACCTCAGGCTTGGAACTAAGGAAGCAACTTGATGGAGGTTGTGGCTGCTGTGGGTGGGTGTCTTTAAACCTCATCTGGACTGTTGGGTGCTGGAGCACCCTGTGGAATCAGTGTCTTAATTACAGGCTTACTGTGGAGGATTAACAATATTTGCATTGAAATGTGAAACTTTCTGGAAAGCTTTTGATGCAAAACCTGCCTTAAAAACACCCAGGAGTTGAAATTCAGAGCTGCCAGCCAGCACTGTTGAAAGAAAATGCAAATATTCCCCTTGTTACTCAGGAAGAGCTGCTGGTTTTGTGCCTGGTGAAATTGCATGGTGTACAAGCTCAGGCGTCAGCCTCTGCCTCCCAAAATGTTTCATTTATTCTCTTGGTTCAGGTGTTCAAATCTCACCTTGCCCTGGGTTTGGCTGGTGGGACCAGGCAGGGTGGCTTGAATTGTCCCCGGGTGTCCCCTGCCCCAAGCTGACCCTCACCCACAGCTCACATTCCAGTTTCTCCTTTGCCTGAAATAGTTGTGATTTACTTTTGTCTAGGGCAGAAGCAGTAGTGGGGTCAGTATTTTTGGTCTTGATTTCTGCTAAGCAAGCATGGCCATCAGGGTCTTAATCAGCTTAATTATTGGGCTGATTATTCTATTGTCTCCAGATCCCAGTGTTTCCTCCTGTTTTTCCTGTGCTAAGGTCAGGAATTCTTACATCATCCCCATGTCCAATCTCTTCTCTTTGCCCCCAGTGGTGAGATTTCCTCCAACCTGATGAACTTTTTGAAGTGAAAGCTTTTGTGTTTCCACCATTTTTAAATCTGCTGCAAAGGCTCAGCCTGCTGGAATTGTGAGCCAATGGAACTAAGCCAATCTAAGCCAATGTAAGACAAATTACTGGTTTTACAGGAAAACCAGTGTGCTGAAAGGCAAATGTAAAGACCAGGCATGCTTTGTTCCAGCAGCAAGGGTTGCACACAATATATTTGCCAGTAGAGCAGCTCCATCCACCTCTGTGTGTGTTTGTGGGAGCTACTCAAGTGTGTGAACTCAATATTTGTGAATCAGAAGCTTTTGATTCTTGTGTGAATGATTCGTGCTCTGACGGATGTTTTGCTTATGTAACAACCTTGTGATCGTTGGCGTTTTGGGGACATTTTTGTTTCTCAGGAATAGGAATGTCCGGCCGCAGTGTCCTTACTAAATCCAGTCCTTCATTATGTTCTCTTCCGCTTTGCATTGCATCTTCCAGCACTTCTCAAGTTTTTATTTTAAAAAGAGTCTTTAAATCTCTCTCTCCAGCCTGGAGCAGCTTCACTGCTCTTTCACACAGGCCAGAGCCAGCCTTGCTTAAGAACCTTACGTTGCTTTTGGGGTTTGAGTTAGGATGCAGGAATATGGCAAAACAGTGAATTGATTCAATGCTTTCCAGGGCTTTGCCTTTTTTATTGTGAGTCAGAGTAGCCATTGTCCAGTTGTTTCCCTGCTGTGGACAGATTTGTTGCTGCATTTGGCCATTCTCTTTATCGTGTCAGCATTGGGTTTTACTGTTTGTCAAAACAACAGTGATATTTGGAGGGCTGTGATACTGCAGATCCATCACACACTGTTGTGAAATTCAAGTTTATATCATAAGTTCCTTTTGCTACATGTTTGGATTCGTACAAAAAACATGGGCTGGAGAGTGGCGTGAAGCAACAGGCCCTGGTCCCCATCCAAATGAATTTCTCAGAGACCATATTAAGCCAGAAAATTTGTTTGCCTTTATCACTGGCAAACA